ATTGGCAAGACTGGATCATAATGTACACAGATGCTTCAAAAACTCCTAACAAAGATTGTGTAGGTTCTGCAGTTTGGATCCCTAAATATAGAATAATATTAAATTTTAAGTGCCCACCTGAATCATCAGTTTTCACAGGTGAATCTATTGCCATCTTAGAGGCAATTCTATATGCCGAATCTCACAACCTGGAAAATACCTTAATTCTCTCTGACTCCCTTAGCTGTCTCCAAACCATTATCTCCAGCTCCTTCCACTATAAATCAAATCTTTTCCCTATCCTCTTTATTAAAAAAGGATTATATAATTGTCACAAAAAAGGCCTAAAAGTTATCTTGGCTTGGATTCCAGGCCATTCTGGGATACGTGGTAATGAGTGTGCTGATTTCTTGGCTAAGAAAGCAACACGAACAGGTATCCTCTCTCAGTATCAAATTTTCCCCCATGACTTGCTTCCACTAGCAGGATCTGACTTCATGGCATCTTGGCAAGGTCTCTGGGACCAAACTAAAATCATAAAATGTAAACACTACGCTCGGGTTCAAGACACAATCCCATACAAACCTTGGTTTTTCCATTATCGTGAAGCTAACAAATTTACTACATCAACCATTTGCCGTCTTCGCTTTGGTCATTCTTGCACACCGGTACACCTAGCCAAATTAAGGATAAGGGATAATTCTATATGTGAATGTGGTCTTGATGAAGGTTCAACTGATCACATATTTTTCGAATGTCCTCGACTCAAGTTCTCCTTGTATTATATCCTTCCCCAAAACATCCCTCGTCCTACTAACTCTACCTGTCTGCTGTCTCTCGTGTTCTCCTCATTTGTTCATATTTTATGTGATTTTATTTATACTAATAGTATTAAGTTGTAACATAAAACTAATCATTGTTGGTGGTAGAATTATAAATGTTTGTGTTGTCTTTTGTTGTAGATTAGAAGCCATTCAAAAAAAATTTAAAAAAAAATTATATAAAAAAAAATTATTTACCTTGTTGTCACTCCCATGACTGACTTGATATTGGCAGAATTCTTATAAGAGAAGCCAAAAAGTAAAGAAGAAGAAGAAAAAGAAGCATCTTGTACGAATACATGATAAGGTTGGCTCCAATTCCTCATTAATGAGATGTGAAAAATGGTTATTTCTAAGGGTATTAGTGTTCTGTGTGTCATCACAGAATATAATAATTATATACCTGCTTCGGATTGCTAAATTACCAACCCGAAGCAGCAACCAAAGAGAATATAATCACTTGGCAGCAACTATCAAATACCAATGGTAACACTGACTGTGAATGTCATGTCTGGTTTAGGCCTGGGTCGTATCGCGTTTTCTGAGAATCGTATCTAAACCAGATTTCGAGTTTCAATATCTGATATCAATACTGCGTACACTTGTTTATATTTTCTACTCCAATACGCTGTTGAAATCTGATACGAGGATTTTATAGTTACTAATATTACCTATTCGATGCGAATCAGTATTGTAGATATATCATAGTAAATTTATATTATGTTATCTTCTTGGAGCTAATGCAGATATAGTTGTAGTTTTAACTTTATTATTTTAAAGTTTTGAACTAGTTATTTATTTACAACACTAGATACTCAATTAAAATAGTTCAATAAAATATATAATATAAAATAGTAGGTATTTACAGTGTCTTTATTATTTATTTACATCACAAATTGCATTTAAAAGGATAAAAATTGCAACTTTCTACTTCCACTACATTTATTCTGGCAAATCTGTAAGAACTAAAAATAAATTGAAAATTCTATATAAAAACAATCAGATCTGAAATTTATCATTATTAGGCAACAAGTTAAACTTAAAATTCTTACATCTATGATTAAAGTTAATTAAATAACTTTGTAACGTAACGATGTCATAAAAATAGTTCGTAAAGTTATGATAATTAGGTTCTAAATCAGATACTATTGGGTTACGCGACTGGGAAGAAATTGCCGTACCGCTCGCTCCTACTACTGTATTTGTCTTGGCCGGAAGTATTTAAATAAAGATGGTTAATATATCTTTTAACTGTTAAAATAAACAGTTAGAAAATTGAAAATTTATTAAATAAATAAAATAAACAATAATTAATAAAATTATCATATTCCAGTCCATTCAAAATCATCCACGATCGATTTCTTACCTAGCCGTAATTATGCCATCTAGCGTCTTCTTTACGTTACACCTTGAGAGTCAATCAATTTTCGTTCGATAAAATGACTTTACCCATAGAATGGATGGCGGTTTACAAAGCAATTTTATGATTTTTTACATTAACATTCTCATGTCTAAAAATAAGGATTGTAACAATTATTTGCTAAATATATATACTTAAAGTCAAATTTATATCCAATATTTTATGCTGTACTTGTTTTTGACAATTATCATATTAAATAAATCGTTTGCGGTTAAATCTTTTGAAATCTTGTTTTTATTAAAACGTACGAAATGATATTTTTAACACAACATGATGAACGTTATTGACTGAATTCATTAGTGGTTGATGTTAATTTTATGTACTTTGTTGTTATGATATTGGCTCAAATATTGGTTGATAGGTAGTAATTTAAACAAAGGGGCACCAGTTTAATATTATATTGTTTAGTTTACATTTTCATCAAAATATTACAAGGGATTTATATAAAAACTTAAAAAAATAATTACTAGGGAAGTTAATTAAGATTTAGTGAAATTGTTTTTTTATTTTATTATTTAGTGTAGTGTACAAATATAAGATTTTAGTAAGACTTTAATTTTCCGCCATGTTTAATCTAATACCCATATCGCTCGCACTCTGTCGCACACGGCGAATCTAGCCACCGACCAATGCGAAATGATTTAGGCATCGCGGCGGTACGCAAATATCAGATTTTGTTAATACATAGTTTTCGCACGAACCGGTATAATATCTATATCGCTCGCGCTCCGTCGCACACGGCGAATCTAGCCACCGACCGATGCGGAGCGATATAGGCATAGAGGTGATACGCAAATATCAGATTTTATAATACATAGTTTTGAAACGAACCAGTAAGCGGTTTTTAGATATTGTACCAATATATAGATTTCGTATCAGTATACCTACGGTTTGTATCGCCCACCTCTAGTCTGTGGTCATGTCTAGCTTGCTACATATATATCGTAGACTGGTATACAGTAATCTGTGATATATATTTATCTATGACAGAGACAAATATTTGTGTGCGAGGTAAGCATGGGCGTTTTCAGATTTTGGCTGCAACGGTTACATAACTGATTTTTAGTTTTCATATCGTTATTGAAAACCGTTTTTAAATATCGATATCAGTAGTAATGGTTTACAACCGAAACATAACCTAAAATCAGGGGTATGAATGTCCTCAGTAGCTTGCTTTACGTTGATACTAGTGCCATCTCACAGTAAAAGTACTATTTTTCCCGATATTTTTACATTATCTATTAAAAGATGGCGCCACTGTGGGTATTTATTATTTATACCGAAGCCTAAATCATGCTAGAAAAGTTTTGAAATAGGCCGGTATATATATATATATATATATATATATATATATATATATATATATATATATATATATATATATATATATAATAAGCAATGTATGTAGAATGAAGCAATTCACACCATGGTTTTCTCAAACAAACATAATAAATAATTACTTAAAACAAATTAGTTACATAATATTTAAATTAAATTAAATTGATTTCCTTTTAATTTTATTGAAATATGTACGAAATAATACTGATTACTGAATAATACTTAACCTAGGTGATAGCGCCCTCTAGTGTAGTTTTCAGTAATTTGTAATCCCTACGCCATCTATAAAAGCGCAGAAGAAACTTTCCTCGTTTCGTCACCTAATTATTTTTCAGAGTCATCTATGCCTTAAAACCGTAGAACGAGTGCAACATATATTTTACGAATTACTTCGATTATTTTAGTTTAGAATATTTAGACATGTATGTTAATATATAATTTATGATTGTTATGCAGTAATATAGTATTATAAATGTCTAAAATTACATTCTTTCTATTCTCATTTATGTCTATAATGCTTATACCCATATTTTTTTTAAAGTGAGACGTAGGATCAGAGTTTGATTTGGAAGTCTATAATTAAACTGTATTCATAAGTAGTAAACATAATTTATATAATTAAATTATTATAGGTACCTACATAGTTTATTTATTATTATTATATTAATAATCATTATTTTTTATAATGATTATTTAAGTTAGCGATTTATCTTCATATACTTAACTAGGCTTAGGACTGACAGGAAAGTTTTAAAACAAATGTACAAAATGCAAACAAATATTATAAATAAATGCACAAACGCAACGTCAAAAATTAATAATTTTACAGATAGATTCATAGTGAACGGCACACGCGACAAATATCAAGTGTGTAATTGTTACGTTTGAAAAAAAATCAAATTCTAACTTTCACATAAACAGAAGTTGCCTAAACCAAATATAATGTGATGAAACAAATCTAAGTCTAGTGCCTAATGTCCTAAAGATCATTTAAATCTGACAACTCTCTCAACTACATAAACTTAAAAAAAAATAGGCAATTTTAACCATTTAAAATTCGACCTTATTGTTCAGAACCTTATAATTATATTTCACTACGTGCACCGTTTTATGATAACGACCAAAACATCGCAACGAAATCCATATTCGCTTCATCTCTTTCATACGTATTTATGATAGTGTCGCTAGAACGAGAAACAACGAATATCAAAGGTTCAAAGGACATCGGTTAGTTTTGGTTTTGGGCCGTTTTCGGTTTTTGGCATATTGTTACAGTTTGCGTTTTAAGTTTCGTACGTTGGTTAGTTGATTTTGGGTTTTGGTTGGATATGTGATAACGGTTATGTTCTTAGGTTTATCGATATGATATGATATTTGATAACATAACGTTATTAGTTACGTTTTGATATATCGGTCTCATGCCTAGTGCGAGGTGCACAAATTATAAAGAAAGTTGGCGAGGTGGTTTTAGCATATTATTTGGTTATTGTTATTTTATTTTAGGTTTTGGTTTTATTAATTATGAGTAAAGTGGATTTAGTGGAAGAATCTTCAGTAAGTAATTTGAAAGTTAATTAATAACTGCGTTTAGTGAACCCAACTCATACAAGGATGCAGTACTTGGTTGTTTTTTATTACATATTTCTTAGTATCCTGCTGTGTGAAAAGGCATACCTCTTATGGTTTGGAGGGGAATCCCCTGTGATGGGGTTAAATATTTTTTGAATCACTCGTATTGGCTTATAAATTAATAACAGTGTATGTGGAGTGTTTAAATAGTAAAATCATGGAGATAGATATATACACATCCTTGTATTTAAATATTAATATGTAATTAAAATTAAAATATATGATAAAATATAATGAATGCTTAAACTTTATAATTATCATCAGCCTGCAGCAGTTAGTGCCCATGTTAAGACAGCATATGTGACTACAGACAAGACTTGTAGGTGATAGAACCATGCAGGAACTATATTATGGTTGTAGCACAAATGGTTTGGTTCGACTGGGGAGGGACCACACTCTCACAGTAAACCAGCATAAAATAGCATGTAGTTGTTTCATATGGTGAGTGTAGAGAACTGAAGATCCGTTTTACTGGATATAATGCATTCCAGCTTTGTCCTCGAGGGTGATAACACGTTGGCATTTTGAGTTTTAATTGAAGATATATGTGGATGTCTATGGGCAACAGTACCCACTTAATGTCAGGTGGACTGTGTGCTCGTTTGTCACCATTATTCTTTATAAAAAAAAAACTCACTGGTCTAAAACTTTTGCCATCAGTTCAGTCTTAAGCTAAGTGACTGTAATACTATAACACTTAACATAATAATGTTAAGTGCTATTAACTTTTAAAATATTTAAAATTCAATAGCATTTGGCCATATGAGATGTATCTTACTTAGTTAGAAGTGCATCTTCCTCTATTATTAAATTATGTGCACAGGTAATGTTATGGTGGTGTTGGCATTAGTGGTACCAGTAATAGTGCACACAATTGATGGAGGATTAGATTTGCTCTTTAAACTAGGTAAAACACATCAGCTTTATTTTTCATGTGGATCTTGTGTAATTTAAACATCTTTGGATTTTCATATAGTTACACCTGATTCTATTAATATAAGTTTTCTTACAGGCTGTTGAAACAATTGCAATAGATGATGAACCAGATGTTATTAGTGATTTAATTTCCAAAGAAAGTAAATTATTTAATGAATTAGTAGAAAAGTGCTTAGGCCTAGAGGATTCAAAAGGAATGACGAGAATTCTAAATAAAATGGTTATACCTGCTTATAGGCAACTTGATGAAAATTATAAGAAATCACAGCGCTTTGAATCAGTTTTATGTAAAACTCTAAAACTAATTGAAACAGACCCTATTCATAAATTCACTCATGTTAGAGGCTTTTATGAAAAATTGAAGCTGCATAAAGTGAGAAAAAAAGTTAATTTTGTTACATTAACAACCAATATTACAGGTAAATAAGGTTACAAAATATGAATTTATCAATTTTTCAACTATTCTATAATTTTCAAATTACATTTCAGAAAAAGCCCATTATGATGGTAATAAAAGAAAGACTGATTATAATATGTGTAACTTAAGAAAACAATCTAAAATTGATGTAATTGACTTGGATGATGAAAGCACCACTGTAATAAACTTAGATAAATATGAGTTTGATGTAGTAGTAATTGATGATGAAAGAAATAATTTAGATGAAGAAAAAGAAAATAAAGATTTGGATAGATGCAATTCAAGCTTAGATCAGACTAAAATTACAAATTCATTACAAGCAAGCTGTGAAGTTAAGTCTAATGATAATTTAAATGAAAAAGAGGTAACTAAAAGTGAAAAGCATAATTATTTGTTGACAGATGTTGATAGTGAAGTTAATAAATTTTTAGTACCAAAGGCAGTTGAAATAATTCAAAATGAATGTGAACTCACAGACAGTGAAAAAGTGCTCCAAATTGAAAAACAAATAGCAATATATAGGGAGAAGATTGCAATGTTGGAGGAACAAGAGGTTGATGATGATACAATGACATCACCATATATATTGAGTGAAAAGTAAGTTTCAAACTATTCCACTGGGTATGTTAAGACACATATATTAAATAAATTTTATTAAGTACTTACACAAATGTCCCACACAGCTGAGTATGTTTGTTGGGTGTATGTATGTATTTTTATCATAGTGCTGCCAACTCCCAGTACTACCTTACCTATTTCTGCCACCAAACAGCAGTGTTGTTCTTGTCTGTCGGAGTATAGAGCCAGTTATAGACTTATATTTTTATAGAGTTATAGAGCCGATTTACACTTCGACAAGTACAGTAGTGAGTTAACTTGCGAACCTGGCGAGTTAATTAAAAATCTTGTTTGAACGGCAATTATTGAAACAAATTAACAATTAAGTTGAATGGGATAGCTGGCCGGTCGAATATTATGGCGAGTCAAGTTCGAACTGTTGCCCTCTCTCTCGTCTCCCACCACCCGCAACTAAACTCACCGCACATGTGAATGAGCAAGATTAGTTCAGTGCATAAGTTGACAGGAGGCAACGTATTCGACCCTCAAAATATAAAATTGTGCTTTTTTAACTACATTTGCCACAAAGACATTGGAACACTACTGCTCACTTAAACATTTACTGTCAACTGCCCTGTAACTAAACTCGCTATTGCCCTTGTCGAATTGTAAATCGGCCCTTAGTCTTCAGAGGTGCAGTAAGTTGGCTACAGGATTGCAGTAACCACTTACAGTCAGGTTGACTGGTTGTTCGTTTATCACTTTAGTTTTATGAATAAAGGTGTATTTCCTTACATATGGATTTTACATATGGAAACAAACAAATAAAAAATAAATTCACCACAACCTTAACATAGTTGAAATTAATTAGCCAACAATCAACAGTTCTTCAAGCTGTGTGAATATTTATTTCATAGTCATCTAACTAAACCTTTGAGTTATCTTAAAATTTTGTTGTTCTCAGTTTTTATTAATAATATAAATAGATTTTTATTTGTTTTTTTCTTTACAGATACAAAGCAAATATAGTGTCACTGTATAAAGAATTGTGTAAGCTTACTGGAACTGAATCAGTTAAGCGTCGTGAAGTAAGGCTTAAAGTAAATGATGGGCATCCTCCTGGCCCAGTCCGAAGACTTGAAAGGTTTTTGAATAATAACATTGGAAGCAATGGCGATCCACCATTTCCCGACTTTTGTGATGTCGTGAATTGCGTTGTTAAATCCAACCAGGAAGATGGACTTTGTTGGACCAGAGCACAGATAATGAAGGAAGGTAAGGTTGTGTTAACCTTATTGTTTTCATATTAACAAAAAAATATTTACTAACATGTTCGTAAAAGTATAAGCATCTAAAATTATTAATTCCAGTTAATTCTCTCCTGTAAGTGTCATAAAAGTTGTACAATTTTTACGTGGTAGAGCCGTGCTGTAGCTATATTACTGGTATAGTTGTAGCACAAAAGGGTCGATACGACTAGGGAAAGACCACGCTTTCACAGAATACCAGTGTAAAATAGCAGCTTAACACGGCTGTGTTTCATATGGTGAGTGTAGAGAACTGGATACCCTTTTGATTAGAAATGAGGCATTCTATCTTAGTCCTCACAGATGATAATGCGTTTTGATTCGTAATCGAGGATAGATGTCTATGGGCTACAGCAACCACTTATCAACAGGTGGACTGTCTGCTCATTTCTCACCTAAACTTGAAAAAAAAACTATTCTCAGAAACGGTGTCTACAGTAATTTTAACTAACATTGTCACTTGATATTTCCAATAGAAACTCAAGAATTAAAAACATGTAAGTAATACGTATGACGCCTTGTAAGGGCTAGGTTATCTATGATATGCAGATACCAAAAAAATTCGTTAATGTAAGCATGGTCACAGCATTGCATTTACAACATCAGTTGTGAATTCAATGCTGCGACCACATAAACATAAGTTTAAATTAGATGCAATAGAATTCATAAATTGATTTATATATTTAGATTTATTTAGATTTTTAGATTTATTTAGATTTTTAGATTTATAGAATTCATAAATTGATTACAAACATAATCTTATATTGTTGCAAGATATAACAAAATAAGAGGGAAGGCGATGGATTCATCGTCGTCATCATTACAGCCGATCCCAAGTCCATTGCTGAGTTCAAGGAATGCCACAAAGCACATTCTTGACTTGAGATACCTCTATCTATTAACTTCTTGCATCTCTTATCAGGTCATCACTTCATCTATTGGGTGGCAGCCCCATACTTTGCTAACCGGTTCAAGGCTACTACTTGAGAATGTTTCTCCCCATCGGTTTCTCAAATGTTGCCAAATATCAGGCTTTTTCTATTTCTAGCTACGTCATTGTTCACTCAATGCGGTCGTGCGCTGCAAAAACGTAGACAAAAGAGGGAGTGGCGCCATTTGATGGCTAGAGTGAAGGTCGAAGAGTGTCATACTGATCCCGCGGAAGAAAATCATGATCTGGAAGCACGCTTGCAAGCAAATAGACGGATAGCAATGAAAAAGGAATCTGACATTCTTGAAACGTTAGTATAATATACGTGTCGCGAAACTCAACGGGTACTGAGCGAGAGGGGGAGACATACCAGCCCCAGGAAAAATAAAAATAAAATCCATAATATCAGCAGGTCTCACTCCGCGCTCTAGGTATGAAAATATATCTACGCTCCCCGGCCCCATACAAGGGGCTAATTCCGTGCGGTTGTCAGCCGCGCTCGAGCTGACGCGCGTCTTAAGTCTTGGATATACTTGGGGACAAAAGGAGCGGCAATTTGCGCAGCTTGTCGCTCAACAACTACGTGGAATGTCCCGAGACATATTATGTTGCGGAACAATTTACAGGCCACACTAGTCAGTGCTTATAGAAATGTCGCCCGAGAAGGTTGTGGCGATTAGTGCAGTGTACATAGTACTTATTTCGAGAGTGAAACGTAAGCGAAAGAGAAAGTGGTCCATGCGGAATTTCTTACTACAACGAGAAGAATTAATATTTTAAGTGATCTCCGAATGTCTGAGGGATCTTTTGTGAATTATACTTAAATGTTAACATCTGATTTTGAAACTTTATAAAAAATGATCGAATCTTCCATAGCCAAACAGCATACAATACTACGACATGCTGTTGGCCCTCATATAAGACTTGCCATTGCATTAAGATACTCTTGTCGACTGGAGATTCTTATGCTTCCTTGTCGTACACTTTTGGAGTATCGAAACAACTGATCGACAGAATAGTACCAGAAGTTTGTGATAAGAAGTATCCCACAACAATACATAACTCTGGTAAAGCTTCGTTTCCCTACACTACCGACATGTTGCGCCCACCACTACACCCGGTAACAAATGGCACGACACTGACGCGGGACACGTGTGCTCGCTCTCGGAGCGTGAACAAGCAACATGTCCCGCGTCACGGAAAATGTTGCGGGTCACTGTGCAACCTGCATCGTTACGTCCATTGAGTGTTCCGCGTACATGTTGCGGGACAAAATGTTCCCTAGTGTATCCAGGGCTTTATGTTAACAAAAAAATATTTGAATAACGTTTCGGTTGCTTTCCAGCAACCATGGTCACTGGCGACTGAGGTGACTGACGTCCGATCTACGCAGAATGAACTTACTGTGTCTTGAAGTCTTGCAGTGGTATGCTTGGGCTTAGTTTTAATTTTATGAATTATAGGATACCAAGCAGGTGGTAGTACCCAGCCTCCCTCTCTATTGAAATTATGATGTTTTTTAATTTCAATAGCCTCACGTATCATTCTTGGCAGGTTCTTTCGCGAGAATTCGTGGTTTATCAAATCTAATGTAATGGCGGGGGCCGTCTAGGATTTGATCGCAAACTGCAGACTTCCCGGAACGTTGGTGCTTCACGTCAGCTATGTGTTCTTTTACGCGGGTTTATCGTTTTGTTTGCCCTATATATGAGAGACCACATTCACAATCAAGCTTGTACACTCCTGCATCTTGTAGAGGAATATTGTACTTGACGGATGGTAAGAACTGACTAATCTTCTTCGGCGGCTTGAAGAATGTTTTAATAGAAGCTCGTTTCAAGATGTAGCCAATCAATTGAAGCGAGCGGAATCGGGACGTCAATCACCTCAGTCCCCCGTGACCATGGGTGCTGGAAAGCACCCGAAACGTCGGAAATTAATAAAAATAAGAAAAACAAGTTAATTAAACGCCGTAAAATCCGTAAAAATAGTTTTATTCAATGTATAGTGTTCGCGTAAATATAAGAAATCATTACCTCCTCCTTTTTTTAAGGCGGTTAAAAATGGTAAATAGGTAAATTATGTGAGTTTCAAAGACGTTCACGTAGCCATTGATCTTAATTTTTCTCGATTTTGTACATTAACCTTCCTCACATTGAACAATAATGTTCCCTCGGTGTATTCTACTACCAACTAATATCAAAGGATTCAATTTGTTTTCTCACAACACCTAACCCTGCAGTAGGTGCGGTCTTAACAAAGGCGCGTAACGGGCTAAGTGTTAACAGACTCGAAAGCGGACGTAAGGTGCATTTATTTTAACAGTGGTAGAGTCAAGCGGTAGCTTTTGCTGTCTCACGGATGGGCCAGCTCGAACCGGGGTGGTACCACGACCTCACAGAATACCAGCGTGAAGTAGAGGTTTACCTCTGCGTTGCGCTTGGTGAGTGCAGGTGGCCGGTGGCCCCCCATCAACATGGTAGTGGAATTATATAAAAGACTACCCCAGGAGGGTACCAGCACCCCTGGAGAATCCCTCGCTGAGCATCCACGACCAAACTACTTCACTCCTGAGCGTGGGTGCTCAAGCCGCCCCGCGTATTCGGGGGGGGGGGACAAAATTCCGCTCGCAATTAATGCTGCTCAGGGCAAGCGGAGCAATACAACCAAGGCGACCCCTGTCACGCTATCCGTGAATTTGTGTAACATCAGTGGACTTCATTCCAACCTTAACGCTGTCCATTACCATCTAGAGACGGCGAAGCCGGCCTTGCTCTTTTTAACCGAGACTCAGGTGTCCTCTCCGGCTAATACTTCATATCTCTCCTACCCGGGGTACAAATTGGAACACTCCTTTGTGCCCCGGGCTGGAGTTTGCGTATACATTGCGTCAGAGAGGAGACCTGTTTTCGACGCCTCGGCAGTCTTGAAGGTACGGACCTGTCCATACTATGGCTGCGCGTAGACAGCGACGACCATCCCCGCGTCTACGGGTGCCTCTATAGGTCCCATAGCGGTAATGCCGACACAGACCGACTCATCGACCGCGTCCAAATGGCTGCAGACTCCGTGCTACAACAGGTCCCATCCGCAGAGATCGTGATACTCGGTGATTTTAACGCCCACCACGCTGAATGGCATGGTTCTCGTTTAACCGATCATGCGGGTAGATCTGTCTATGACTTTGCTTTGGCATATGGTCTAACACAACTGGTTATTTCGCCTACGCGGATCCCAGATGAGGAAGACCATGTACCTTCCCTGTTGGACCTTCTGCTGACCTCTCATCCCACCGGATATCAGAGTACGGTGCCACTCTCGCTACAATCGCAGTTGCGATCTGCAGCTTGCCGCCATGTTTGGCACTATAGGTCAGCTGATTGGGACGTGATCTTTTTTTGCATCCTACCCTTGGAGGCGGATTTGCTCCTCGCCGGAAAATCCCAGCGCTGTTGCCGAGTCTGTTACTGGTGGTGCCCATCGGAGGCAGATCCCAGCCATGGTTTGGTCGCTCCTGTAAAATAGCATCACGCTATAAGCAGGAGTGCTACCGGGCCTGGGCTGACTCATCAACGTCTCGGGATGTAAACACCAGCGCACTTAAAAAGAAGTATAATTCCGCCTCCAGGTCATTCAAAAGCGTCATTGCCAAGACAAGGTCTGAGCGCATCGGCAGAATTGGCGAGAAGCTAGTTCGCCTTCCTTCGGGAACCCGTGCATTCTGGTCTCTCGCCAAGGCTGTCCAAGGGAACTTCTGTCAGTCATCTCTTCCATCTCTGCACAGAGAGGACGATTCATTGGCCCATGCCGCAAAAGAGAAAGCCGATCTGTTGAGCTCTCTTTTTGCGTCCAACTCAACTCTAGATGACGGGGGAACACACCCCCGACCATCCCGCGATGTGAGTGCTCCATGCCGGATGTGCGGTTTACACAGCGCTCGGTTCCCAAAACACTCTTCTTCCTGGACGTCAGCAAGACGAGTGGGCCCGATGGAGTCCCTCCCATTGTGCTGAAGACGTGTGCTCCGGAGTTGGCACCGGTTTTAACGCGTCTTTTCCGGTACTCCTACTCCCAAAGCGTAGTCCCGAATACATGGAAGACAGCTTTGGTCCACGCGATCCCTAAAAAAGCGACCGCTCAGACTCGTCCAACTACAGGCCTATTGCCATCACCTCCTTGTTCTTCAAAATAATGGAATCCATTATAAACTGCCAGCTCATGAGGTACCTTGAGGATCACCAGCTGATTAGTGACCTCCAGTACGGTTTTCGTCGAGGTCGATTAGCTGGTGATCTTCTAGTCTATCTGACTCATATCTCACATAGCGAAGGCCTTCGATCGGGTCTGGCACAAGGCGCTTCTTTCGAAGATTCCTTCCTATGGGCTTCCCGAGAAATTGTGCAAATGGATCACCCACTTTCCTTGCTGATCGGAGCATCAAGGTCGTAGTAGACGGTGCATGCTCTGATTTCAAGCCTATCAACGCTGGTGTTCCACAAGGCTGCGTGCTATCGCCAACGCTGTTTCTCCTGCATATCAATGATATGTTGCTAACTGGTAGCATTCATTGCTATGCAGACGACAGCACTGGTGATGCCTTATATACCGGCCGTGCCAATATTTCTCGGGAAAACGTCGCTGAGTACCGGGACAAACTTGCGTCTGAAGTCGAGTTTTTGCTTAACAAAGTCTCGGATTGGGGCTGACTAAATCTAGTCCAGTTCAATCCCCAGAAGACACAAGTTTGCGCGTTTACCGCTAAAAAGAACCCCTTTGACGTATCTCCTCAGTTTCAAGGCACTCCCCTTGCTGCCTCAGCTAGTATCGGAATCCTTGGCGTCGACATATCGAATAGTGTGCAGTTTCGTGGACTTGGAAGGGAAGGCCAAATCGGCCTCTAAAAAGCTTGGCGTGCTCAGCAGAGCGAGGCAGTATTTCATGCCGGCACATCGCTTGCAACTTTACAAAGCGCAAGTTCGGCCCCACATGGAATACTGTTCTCATCTCTGGGCCGGGGCACCCCAGTGCCAGCTCCTTCCACTTGAGCGCATCCAGCGCAGAGCGGTTCGAATCGTCGACGACCGAGTTCTTTCTGATCGGCTCGATACACTGGCATTGCGTAGAGATGTTGCATCTCTTAGCGTATTTTATCGCATCTATCACGGGGAGTGCTCTGAGGAATTGTTCGGATTAATCCCAGCCGCCAAATTTCACGAACGCACATCGCGGCAGAACTCCCGATACCATCCACACCATCTGGATGATTGGCGGTCCACCACTGTGCGATTTAGAAGATGTTTTCTTCCTCGCACGACCTCCTTGTGGAATCGATTACCATCAGCGATTTTTCCGGACCGATACGACTTAGGGACCTTCAAGAAAAGAGCGTACTCCTTTTTAAAAGGCCGGCAACGCATCTGCGATTCCCCTGGTGTTGCAGTTGTTCATGGGCGGCGGTAGTCACTTACCATCAGGTGAGCCGCATGCTCGTTTGCCCCCTCTCCTATAAAAAAAAAGAAACTACTTAAATTTTAACTAACCTAGCAACCTTTTTTTTTTTGCTTCATTTATGACTGTGGTTAACACGTTTTTTTAAGACCACGTTAGTGAAACAAATCACTTAAAATTGAGAAATTTGTGATCACAATACCTAATTATATGATTTTTGAGGTGTGGACTTTCTTTATTTTCATAAATTTGTCAGTTATAACTGAACTAACTGACATGGATTTTTTATATGTTTCCCGGGGCTTGTATGATCCCTCTTTCGCCCCCTTGACGTTACGTCACGGTTGACGTTGAGTTTCGGAACGGTTCTATAATTATTATTTGATTTTAAAGTATCTCAGTCTAAATGTAGGCCGTAGGAATGCAGTAAATAATAATTAAAAAGGAATTGTTTTCTTTTTCAGTTTTTCGATGATGCAGTACTTGCCTGCAGTGCAAAATAGTGAATATGTTGAAAAGCCAAGTGAAATTTTAGATACAGACAATAGTAGCGATAGTGACACTACCTTGGATAGTGAAAACGAATCGATAGATTTAAATGATAATGAAACAATTGAAAGTAACTTAAAAAAACTAGAAGATAATTCAGAAACAAAAATAAACAGTTATTTAGAGGCTCCAACAATTTCAACAAAATCCAATAATATCATTAATAATAATGAAGTAATTGTAAAGAAGGAACCCACTGAGGATGTAGCACAGTTGCTCGAAAGATTAGGCGATAATTATACAGCTACTATACAGGATATTGAAGACCCCTTCCTAATAATCGAAATTTCATCTGACAGCAGTTCGGGTGAGGAGTAGCATTTTGAACGCTACAATTTCCTTGAAAGATGAAGAAAGGGGTCAGCAAAGCGTGAAGTTCAAATAATTTGTAATTTTTACGAATTATAACATTATATATAAACATCCATCGAATTCCTGCATGTCTTACCAGGTTGTCACTCCATCTAGCGGGGGGACGCCCTACACTTCTTCCGCCGATACGAGGTTGCCACTCGAGAACCTTCTTTCCCATCGGTCCCACTTCTGTTTACTAATCCTTTGGGCTATGTTATCACATGGAGAAACCCCGAGCATAGCCCTCTTCATAGCTCGCTGAGCGACCTTCAGCTTCCTCATACGGCCAGCAGTGAAGGACCACGTTTCAGTTCCATAGGTCATCACGCACTGGTTGTACAGTCTACTTTTTAAGTTTTGAGGTATACCTAACGAGAAGATATGCCGTAATTTCCCGAACGCTGCCCAGCCGAGTTAAATCCGTCGATTAACCTTTCGGTCGAAGCTGGACTTACCTAGTCGGACTATTTGTCCCAGGCAAACATACTCGTCAACAACTCCCGGCATAGGTGTGACATGGACGTTACACATTACTTTCATGAACAGGAACATCCGTTCTAGACAAGGCGTTAATGGTTAAATTTATTTATTTGTTAAAACTTACTTGTTAATTTTTTTAACACATAAAATTAACAGTTAACAATATTACTTTTGTATTTAATTTTTATTTTGAAATTTTTGATGTTAATTTTAATGTTTTAATTTTACGCATGAAATTTTAATAGGTACAGGACTCTCTAGTATTAAAAAGTCTTATTAAGCTAAGCTTATTTAAAAGTTTATTAATTCAATATTTACATTATGTTAAGAATTTTAGGCATCGGGTCAAACCGGTCATTAATAACCCGTCCGTGATCTACCCGCACGCACCGCCCCCGCGTGGCCTTCCGCAGTTCACCACACTACTTATTTATTCTGTGACCGCACGCACAAGCACAGGTCGTTGCATCGACGCACAGCGCACACTCGCATGTATTACATAGCGGCGGATTGCAGTATGCGATGTGCGTACTATTAGTAGTTTGTCGATTGTTATTCGAATAATCATGTTGAGGAACTACTAAATCGACAATCGAACCCGCAATTATACAATTTTCGGTTCAGTCGATTGTTTTTTTTTTTGCAACAATCGCCCATCGCTATTGAGCATAGTGCTTAGCATGGATGCTGGTGGCTCAGGACCGTGCTTTGTGGCATTTCTTGGGGGAGGCCTATGTTCAGCAGTGGACTTGTGAAGGGCTGTAATGATAATGATATAAACACTCGGGTGAATCGCGACACTTAGTATCAAAGTTACCTATATCAAAATATTGATTACTTTTTAACTGGATGTTGTGCCACTGTCTGACAAAACTACAAAAGCTTCACTAGTTTATTTTTTAATATGTAAAGGACAAATGACGACGCTGAAACCAGAGTGATCTAGGGCACAATAGTAGGTTTCTGAGAAAATGAAGGAAATGCGTTACGCGTTATTAATGGAAATCTATAGGCTTTTTATTATTATTTTTTTGTTATATGTACTTCTAATAAGTTTTAAATAAAAAAATATCAATTTTTATCAGTATGAGTTATTTATTAAAACTAATAATCGTAGTTTTACAAAAAAAAAATCACTTAGATCACTATGGCAGATCACAAATTTAAAAAAATGAATTAATAGTGTAAGTTTTCACTTTGATGTCGTAAGAAAAATCACATTAATCATCACCAAATACAGCAGGCAAAAAATTTACATCATCTTGTGCTTCCTGATTGCCACCTCTTCTAGGAACATGTGGCAATGTCAAGTAAAACTGATGATGGATAGGAGGTACGAATTTTAGAGTTTTTCTAATATCTTGCATTTTTTGATACGATATTAGTCTAGTTTCAGGGGCTTTTTCTGGTATATAATTCTTTAGGTTACAAAAAAAAGTTCCAGAATCCATATCATTTGGTTTTAAATCAACTGTTTCATATGTTTCAGTGTAGTCATCATTGTAACTGATTATACTTGAACCTTTACAAAACTTTATCTTCCGCATCTTAGAAATTTTTGCGCCTTCTCTTAATACAATCTGATAATCTTTGAATAGTGTTGTGAGGCTTTCATAATCTAGAAACTTATTTTTCATATCTCGCACAGTAAAAGGTTTTTGTTTTGTGCAGTCTCGGACGAGCTTCATCCAATCTTCTGGTGTATAGATATCAGTCTTCTTTTTTAGTTCTCGACTTATAAAAGAGAAGTCGGTATCGTTAGGCAGGTAAGTATGGCCACTGACGAGATAATGCATGGTGATCGATTCTAGATATGGCGATTTATTAACCAGAAACATCATAAAGTGTAAAACGTTCCAGTTTCTGTTTTGCCCGGAGCAACAGTCGCTAAAAAAACACAGTGATTTGACAGTGTCCGGCACGGAATCTTCTAAAAAGTAGTGAAGTGACGACATAATTTCTTGTGAGCCTCTGGCCCCACAATGTTCTGGCCACATATTCATGAGAACTTTTTCTCCTTCCTTAGTATAAGCATGAATACCAAAGTTCAGCATTTGCAGTTGTCTTAAATAATAGACCTCACCAGTATTCAAATAAGGAAGAGGCAGGGTTCGTTCCAGATCAAAAGTAGCTACTAATAACGATTCCTCAGTTTTGACTTTACTTTTACAGTCATTTAATATGTTTCTTACTTCGCCTGCAAGTTTAATATGCTGATCTTTTTGTACCCTTATAGCTAGGCATGTTTCTATATCTTCTTCCGCCTTTACTGCTATCTCGAGTATATCACAGGTTTTACAAGTATCTGCCTTAGGGATATAGAAGTGTATATTAAACTCGGTTGTAAATACTTTGACGTAGGCGCTCTTTTTCAATATTGGTTTTCCTTCTGACTCACATTTTGCTTTAAAAAGTTCATACATTTTGTTCATTGAAAGATCCGGGCGCAAATATTTTCGTGTTGATCGTCTTTCTCCATAGTGACTCACAAATTTCGGAAAACTATTAATGTGGTCTTTAATCCAGTTCAACTTTTCATCTGACAGCTTGTTAGCAGGTACATGTTGTCCCATCTTATCTCTTTCCGCTATTCCAGAAACAGATTTTTTATTACGTAATGCATAATCTAATCTTTTGTTAGATATTTGTATGACCTTTAAAAAGAAACTTTTGCAAACTCTTTTGTCCAACAGCATGAATTGGCGTACATAATTTATGCGGCTAGGATTTTGAGCATTTTGTCTTTGCTTACGGCGTTTTGGTTCTAAAGTCATAATGGCGCTGCACAACCATGTTGTTTGAGCATCCCATGAGGTGAGCTGATAAAACATTACGTGTATTGCTTCTTGATTTTCAGATGAAACCTGCTCACTGCATTTGAACCTACAGCTGCATACAACTGGTGTAAATACTTTAGCTGGGACAATACTACCTCGTACGTTGCGATATTCTTGGCCTGCAGTTCTTTTTCGCTTCCTTATATTCTTTGCCCATCTATCGAAATTCCGAACTCTTTTTCTTCCTTTGACAGGTTCATCGGAATCTGGATGATTTATTTCCCCCAAGTTACCTACAGGACCCTCTGGATCTCTTCTTTCTTCATTATCTGTAAAGAACAGCATAAGCTGTAACCCAAGCCCAAGCCAGATTCAAACATGAAGCAAAAACGCAACAGACGAGTATTTGCTTATAAAAATAGGTTATATTAAGGAAGTAGTTTATTAGAGTATAGCCTTATAAGTATTTTCGTGCTAATTGATTAAAAGAACATAAGTGTAAGTCAAGCAACAATATTTGAAAAAATATGACTCTGAAATCGAACTGCAAATCACACAATAAAAGTAAAATCTCTCCAGCCCTTTATATTCGACAACAATACATACCTTCACTGTCTTCTAATTCTGTGGAAATTTCTACATTTTGCTGTGGATGGTAAGAAGAATGATCACTTGAAAAATCTTCATTTGTTGAAGTCGATGAAGATGGCGGCGGCGAAGATTGCAATGCCATATTCACTATTCTTTTAGCTCTGTTTCTGTTATCCATTGTTTACGTAACACCCTTTCAATTAAAATCTTTAATAAAACAAAAGATAATCGCAAGCGCATGTGACTAAACCTAAATCAATATGACAAGTAACGGCAATTGATTTTGATTTTGTATACTTTTTTTTTGGACTTTATGGCCTGGTATCTAGACCTTTAGGCCAAGTCTTGAGTATGATTTTGTATACGTGACTGCGTTTGTGTTGCCAGTTTAAAAATATTCAGTGGTTTTGTAAAAATATCAAACCATATTATTTGTTTTAAGTATATAAACATAGATATTAAATAAAAAAATTACGTAAATTATTTGTACACAATTAATTTATTATTTCTTTATTGCACTTAGATCAGTTTGGATTTCCATAAACGCCAGCAACTTGCGACCACAGTGATCTAAGTGCGCTCTCATTACTTAGATCAGTCTGGCATGTCTCCATTTTGCAAATCGCAACGATTCTATAGTGAGATGTTGTGATTTCTCAAGGAAAAAAATACTGGGAAGCACTTAGATCAGTATGGCCTGAAAGAATTATGATTTTTCTTTGCAATTGTGTAAAAGAACCATTTTTGCCAAAAATGTCACTTAGATCACTCTGGTTCCAGTATCGTCAAATATCTTCAAGTTTAATGGATAACCGAATTTATTGATATTTTATATATAGAAGAGAAGATAGTATTTTATCATCGGGAGTATATTTTAAATATTCTGATATCGCACGAAAGTTGTACTGGAATACATATAGCTTAGATAAATACTGTTACGCGCCACTATTAATGTCTTGTACATGGCAACACTAGTTACACTAGCGCCCCCTAGTGTCGAGTAAATGAAAGTATTGCGCGCCACTATTAATGTCTTGTACATGGCAACACTAGTCACACTATCGCCCTCTAGTGTCGAGTAGCAGAACTAGGAGAGTCGAGATCCTTCCAGAAATTTCGGGACCGATATGTACTCGAACATTCTAGATGTCGCTACAGTAGAAGGTTCTGGAAACTACCTGAGGCCCTATATAAGACCGGTATAGACCACGACCGGGGCAGTATTGAATTGGCGATACAAGAGAATACTTCGAAGCGAAATAACGGCGAACTGTGTTTTGTTATTAGTGTGATTTTAGATTGTAATTAGTGTTGCGTAATTAAAGTGTCAATTTTGGTAATTTAATCGGCAGTTTTTAATTGTCTTGAACCCCAAGCTCGTAACAATTGGTGTCAGAAGTGGGATCAAATATGCCGATTTTACCTAAAGACGACACGGAGGGTATCCGTACCCGAAGTCAACGCCAACAGGAGACGGACCAGAGACGATTTGGTAATGCAACGCCGCAAACGTCGGAGGGCCAGTTGCTAACCACGGAGGCTGGCCCGTCAGCAGCTCCTGCATCTGCAGCACCTGACTTGGGTGCTCTGATGATGATGCTGCAGGATCAGGCTCGCCGACAGGAGGAACAGGCCCGCCGACAGGAGGAACAGACCCGTCGGCTGGAAGAGCAGCTGCAGCGCGGTATGGAAGAACAGATGCTCCTCAGGAAGGACCTTCACGCTACCTTCGGGAAAGAGATAAAGGAGGTGAAGGATAGGGTTGCTCAACATGACAACCGCCTGTCGGAAGCTGAAACCCGAATCGACCAAGTGAACAATCGGGTTGACAACGTGATGGCTGATGTGAAGAAAACGCTGGACGACCTCAAACTTGGGGATGGAATCACAGCTCCCGTGGTAGCTACAACACCTTCGCTACGTGGATTCAAAGTGCCGCCGTTCGACGGGAGTTCTTCCTGGTCGGCCTACAAAATCCAGTTCGAGGCTGTCATTAAAGCGAACGGCTGGAATAAAAGTCAGGCCATGACTGCTCTCACCCTAGGCCTCCGCGACCAGGCCTTAACTGTTTTGGAAGCGCTCGGTAAGGAAGTGACTTACGAGCAGCTCCTTGAGGCATTGGAGGCGAGATATGGCGATGCTCACCTGGAACACGTCTTTCGTGCGCAGCTCAAAGATCGCGTGCAACGCAGTAACGAAAACCTGCAGCAGTGGGCCCTTGAGGTGGAGAAGCTGGTTCGAAAAGCGTACCAGTTTGTACCTGTGCTCATTGTAGGGAACCTGGTGCAGACTTTCATCGACGGCATCCGCGACCTTGAAGTCAGAGCTGCTGTGAGGCTCGGGCACCACCAGACGCTTAAGGACGCCCTGACCCAAGCACTGGAGGTGGAAGCCGTGCGGCAGGATCATCGTTCCCACCGCGTCAGGGAGGTTGCAGCAGCTACAGTTCAGGACCGCAATAAGGGCTATAACCCTAGGTGCTACGGCTGTGGGGAAAGGGGCCATCTTCGATCCAGCTGCCCTAAACGAACTGTAGAAAGGGAAGGTGATCGATCTCGAGAGGGTAGTGCGGATAATAGCACCGCCCAGCAGCAGCAGGGAAACGAGTAAAAGCCAGGACTGCGGGGCGGGTGCTGGCTGATGTTAAAAGAGCCCCAAGGATTTCGATCTCACAAACCCATGATGGGAACAGCCTAATCATCAAGGGCGAAGTCAACGGAACGCCGTGTAAACTGACCATAGACACTGGAGCCTCTCGCACGGTTGTCAGTTCCCAACTTATAAGTCGGTTCCTTGGGGACTCCGCATACAACCGAGAACGCATTAATTTGGTGACAGCCACCGGTCAGCGCATACCCGTCCGTGGAGAGAAGGAGATGGAGTTGAAGCTAGGCAACATGATCTACCTGCATAATGTCATCGTGGCTGATATAATGGACGACTGCATCCTGGGCCTAGACTTTATGAGGAAGAATTGTTGTAAGATCGACGTTAAGCAAGGTGTTTTGAAATGTGGACAGGAAGAACTTTTCGTGGAAGGGGCGTTACCAGGGAATGTGTACAGCCTTAAGAAGATTGTTCTTCCGCCGAGATCGGAAACGATTGTGCCGGTTAGTCTTCCTCGGAGTCCTGGGCAAGCCCATCGTTGTGTACTCGTGGAAAGGGTAGACAATGACCTTCCATGGAAAGTGGCTCGAACCTTGGTCAGAACCACCGACATCTCAGGAGTACGTGTGTTGAACCTTTGTGATCAGGAACAGATTATAGAAAAAGGCACATTGGTTGGTACTAGTGAGGAAGTGGATTGGTTGCGTCGATGCGAATATCTATCGACCGGGACCCCCAGCAAGGATGGACAAACGATAGTGACCACACTTTTGGAAGACTGTCGCAGCGTTCTTTCCCCGAATGAAATGGTCAAGGCGAAGAAGTTGTTACTCAAGTACGCCAATGTTTTCTCGTCAAACGAAGCTGGCATAGGAAAGACTGGCTTAGTTCAACACAAAATAAACACAGGACAAGAATTGCCTATTCGTCAGCGGCCAAGAAGATTGCCTGTAGCACGTGAAAAGGAAGTGGAAACCATGATTGAGGGAATGGTGAAGGATGGTGTTATTGAACCTTCATCTAGTCCATGGTGTTCACCTGTGGTGCTGGTAAAGAAGAAGGACGGCAGCATGCGGTTTTGTGTTGACTATCGCCGCCTGAACGACATTACAAAGAAGGACAGCTATCCCTTGCCAAGAATTGATGACACGCTGGATATGCTTACAGGCGTAAAGTGGTTTAGTACGCTAGATCTGAAAAGTGGCTACTGGCAGGTTGAAATTGACCCTAAGGACAAGGAGAAAACTGCATTCTCCACAGGAAAGGGTCTGTGGCAATTCAAAGTCATGCCGTTTGGATTGTGCAATGCTCCAGCAACGTTTGAAAGGTTGATGGAGCTTGTACTTACCGGGCTAATTGGAGATGCTTGTCTGGTCTATTTGGATGACATCATCATCGTAGGCCGTACGTTTGAGGAACACCTTCAAAACCTGGAACGCGTGCTCATGAAGATCCAGAGTGCCAACCTCAAGTTGAGTCCAAAGAAGTGCTCACTATTCAAACGGCAAGTTAGTTTTTTGGGGTATGTAGTGTCGGAAGAAGGTATCCGCACGGATCCAGAGAAAATTGCTGCTGTCAAGGAGTGGCCGGTCCCAAAAGACAAGACACAGGTTAGAGCATTTTTGGGTTTGTGCTCTTATTATCGGCGATTTGTGAAGAACTTTGCAGATATAGCCAAACCTCTGCACAAGCTAACCGAGGAGAAGCGACAATTCTGCTGGGATGAAAGTTGCGATATTGCATTCCAGGAGCTCAAGAACCGCCTGTGCAAAACACCTATTTTGGGGTACCCTGATGCGGGCAAGGAATTCATAGTTGACACAGACGCAAGTGATATAGGACTTGGCGGTGTGTTGTCTCAACGGAATGGTGATCAAGAGATTGTGATAGCGTACTTCAGCAAGTCGTTGTCAAAGCCGGAAAGGAACTATTGTGTCACAAGACGGGAATTGCTTGCTGTGGTAAAGTCCTTGCAGCATTTTAGCAAATATCTTCTAGGGCGGAAATTCCATTTACGAACTGACCATGCTGCACTGAAATGGCTATTGCAGTTCAAAAATCCGGAAGGACAAGCTGCGAGATGGATAGAACTACTGCAGGAATACGACTTTGTGATCAAACATCGCAGCGGGAAATCTCATGGCAATGCAGATGCATTGTCAAGAAGACCTTGCCCTGAAGATTGCAAGCATTGTACTAGGCAAGAGGGTAAGGAAGTGGTATCTGTGAGAATGCTCAGGACAGACCAGCTCAGCAATGAGTGGAAGGACAGCCTACAACATGCACAGCAGGAAGATTCGGACATTAAGCCGATTCTGGAATGGATGAAGGCCAGTGCTCCTAAGCCCAAGTGGAGCGACGTCTCAGCAATGAGTTCGACCACGAAAAGCTATTGGGCCCAATGGGACAGCTTGCTGATTCAGGATGGAGTCCTGTGCCGTAAATGGGAAAATGGTCGGGGAGACAGGTGTCATTTGCAAATGGTTGTCCCTAAGGCTAAAGTGCCGGATATTCTACAGCTGTACCATAGTGGTTGTTCAGGAGGCCACCTGGGAGTTAAACGAACTCTCC